TCTCACCTATTTTTAAGATTCTAACTTGCTATCTCCATCATCTTATCCCATCTGACCAATATTATGGCAATGAAAATGATGCCCTCAGCATTATGCCGCCATCATTTTACAGTAGGCAATAATTAGCTCAGTGTGATTTGATGTGTTAGTTTTCTACCTCCTTTTGCATTTAGTATTTACTTAAAAAACTTCTAAATTGGTCTCATCTCACCAGACCCTATTTTCCAATATCTTCTGTGTCCCCTACATGGCTTATAATGACCTGCAAATGGAATTTCTGATGGTCTTCTTTTAAAAATAGCTTAAAGCACTTCAATATTAAGCCATATTTGCTTTATGCATGCATGAAAAAGTGTCACCTGAGCCCCAGGATTTCTGCTGCTCATCCAGACTTTGACAGCCTTCTTGGTTACTTTTCGGAGTGTTACTCTATTTGGGAAACCCTCCAGTTTTGGATGATGGATTTAACATTGTTCTGTGAAATGTTCTAAAATAGTCATTTTCTTTTTTTCTAACTTTTCTGCAACTTTACTACTTTCCTTTCTCCCTGTTCCTCCCAGTTTCTTTCCCACTATTCTCTAACAAATCTATGATACTTTCACAGAACGCTGGGATTTCTGCTAAGATTATCCTGAAAACAGGTGGATTCTTTTGAATAAATAGACAATTTGTTGCATTTGATTTAATTTATCTGCATTAACGTACGGGGGCTGAATACATTGTGCACGCCACATCTTTAAAACGATTTTAAATGCATGATAGTTTTTTTTGTTAACAATTTTGCATAACTTCAGGTTGGTGATTGTTTTCAAATATATTAATAGTGTGGTTAAACCATGACAAACTGCAAAGGTTGAGGAGATATAAATGTCTTTGGGATTGACCGGAAATAAACCCATCATCATGACGTTGTTAAAGCTTATCTACTTGTTAAACTCTCCCTTATCTAAATCATCCTTTCAATCTTCCATTTACATTGTAAATGCTGTACAGGGTCCTTTTCTTTCAGGCCTTTAAACTGTTGTAGTGGAATTTGTGCTTTTCCGTTGCAAGCGGAGCCAGGTCTCCATACTGCATGTTAAGAGTCATTTCATATTCATTAGCTTTCCAAAAATCGTATTTTTCCACAAAGTATCTTTGCTTTGAAATACTTTTGTGTTTTTGTGTTTGTCTCAAATCAACTGTGGCTCCATAATTATGGTTTTAGCGACTTTTCCCACACATGGAGGTTGGACAATGTGTTTTCAACATGTAGAAAAATTAGGCGTGAACTTTTCTGCAAAACATTTGCAGGATCTACTGTAATGTTTTCACAGATAGAAACATTTGGGACCGCTGTTGTTGTTAGAACACACAGGGCTCCGATACTGGAGTAAAAATGTTTTTTCAAATTAACTTTGTTTATAAGCTGAAGACATATTTGATATAACAAAGATGAAAACAACAGAAAATAAATGTCACCTGAAATTTTACTGGTGAAAGCCATACTTTCTTGTTGGGTTTGCCTTTTAAACTTCTTACCTTGCATAGCTCAAATTACATGAAACAGTTATATTTAATCCTATATTCATGTCACCAGCAGTGATAACGATGCTAAAAAGGAGCCCTACATTATGTAAAAAAAACTGATAGCCATAACAGAAAGGTAGATCAGGCTGCAATGTTTTTGTAGACTTTTACTTGGGCTACCTTAAATTACTTTTGATTTGATTACAATCATATTCAACTCATTTTATTTATATAGCACCAATTCACATTTCATCTCAAGGCACTTTATAGAGAGATTTCAACCAGATCATACAGTCAAACTGATTAAAAGTTCTCTATCTAAGGGAAACCTGCTGATTGCATTGACTCATTGACTCGAAGGCAATCCCTCACACTAAACATGCTTGAAGCGACAGTAGAGAGGAAAACTCCTTTTTAACAGGAAGAAACTTCCAGCAGAACCAGGATCAGTGTGAGCGGCCAGAGATACAAAAGGCACGCCTGAGATTAACATTTATCAGCATCGTTTTGCATAGCGTCACACTTAAATGCAATCAAGTTAAAGTTTGGAATATAGCATTTAAAATGTCCAGAACATATAATAACTTATAAAGATGTCCATTTGACTATGAAGCTGATGTATGTGCAGCAACCCCAGTGAAGGTCTCCCTCAGAGGAGGGCAGGACTTTGTTATTACTAGAAAAGAGCTTGATTAACATTACCGTACAAGTATATGAGAGTGAATCGATCAGCTTGTATAGTCAAGAAATGATTTTCAAATGAGCTGTTTCCACAGTGGGAAAAACAAAATGATTCTTGGCCAAAGAACATGAAGCACAGATTAAAATGAAGCTTGATGTAAACTAATGGAAAAGCAAATATTTCTCTGCAGATCTTTTCTCCTTCCTATTCTTTGGAACACATTTATATAAAAAGAAAATAGTCTGACACAAAAAAGGAGTCCTGACCATATTGCTATGTGGTTCTTTCCTTTATGGGCATTCTCTCAGTTCTACACCGCTCTGTTTTAAATAAAGTCATGTGTCCTCTGAGAGAAACTTCTTCCAACAGTCAAGCAGACCACATTACTAATGATTATCACAGAGGTAACAACATGCGAATAATTACAATCATCTGTCCAGGTTTGCCAGTGTCTTACTTTGGATGAGGGATACCAGCAAAATCCACAACTCACTAAATGTGGCTACAAAACAAGATCATTTTTTCTTATTTATATTTTTCTATAACTGCCTTTCTGTAGTGAAGTGAATGTGACTGTTCTTCGTTTTCATTTTGAAGAAATAAGTTTTTATTTACTAATTAACCAAATTAACTAATTTTGTCTATATGGTTCTGTTAATCTGAATGAAGTCATTATGAATCTCTCTGTATCAGTTTATAAAGTAACCATCTTATTGCACATCCACATCACATTTATTTAATCCGGAGATACATAAATTAACTAAATTTAATTGAAATTCTGGATCTGTAGAATGGAAATTTTCCAGATCTTAATATCAGCAACCTGAGGTCAACCCTTAAAACACAAAAAAACAAGGCAAAAAACAGCAATTCCCTTGAAGCCCTAATAAGAAAAGAGTAGGTCAACAATAGCTGGTTCAGTCCAGAAATTAATGGCCAGCATGTCAGGATGAGCTGCATGAAGAGACAACACTGAACAGCGGACATAGTGTAATTCCTAATAAATACTCACAATAAATAAACACAATAAACACAACAAGACTTGGGTCCATTACCATACTGGTCATGGAAAGAAAGGTAGCTATATCAAATAACAGCTGTTCTGCTTTTTAATTCATTCAAATAAATCAGAATGCTTTATAACACATAACTGTGTGTAATGTTACAAATTCCAGAGAAAATTCATTAAAATGCAATTCAAGAAGTAGATGAATTATATGACCAGGAGGTTGTCTTGGACTCCAAATTCAAACTTGAAGTGATGCATTACTATGAAAGCCAGGAAACAAAGCAGACGGGCCAGGGATACATTTACAAGGGTTCAAAGCAGGATAAGGTAATGAAACAACATCCAAAGATTTAAATATGTCTTATAGCCCTGTTCAATTCATAATCTGAAATTAAAATGTATATTCATACACCCCACAGATGTAGCTTTCTTGATTTAAAGGTGAGAAGAAAGGTGTTGTGAAAAGATAAATATATAAAGCAATAATAACAGTCTACATTGGTTAAGAAGGGGCATAAAAAAATGTGGGAAATGGGCTCTGGTCAGATGAGACCAAAACTGAACTTTTAGGTCAACATAAACAAACCAACAATGCAAACTGTTATAAACACAACAGCCTTGTGTTAAAAGTTAAGGGTGAAAGCATTGACTGGAGAGTCTGGATTCTTAAAAGGAAACCATATCAAAATGTTATATGTTCAGTGTGAACATATAACATGCAGACAAATATTACTGTAAAAACAAAAAAAAGTGTGTTAGAGGATGCAAGATGAAATAGTAAAAAGGAAAGAAAACTTGAAAAAACCACCTTAAAATATAAAACAACCAGAGAGAAAACAATGGAATAAAAAGTGTTCTTTGAGGATTTTAAGCATTTGTGAAAGAAATTGAATATGAAGACTTTGTTTTATCCATTAAGGGTGGATATAATAGGCTATTAATAAAACAAATAGAGCTAAAGCACTGCAACAACAGAAAAATAAATAATTAGGGTTGCGATAACAAAAGACTAAGGGAAAATACTTTCCATCAGCACAAAAACACATAACCTGAGTTTTGGGGGTAGTTTGTAAATACATTGTAGAGATTTTTTACCTAAAGTCTTGTGAATCTACATTGTTATAATGGCCTTAGACCAAAACCATTTTAATCAAAGTTTTAAAAGCAACACCTTTATTCACAATTGATGATTATTCACTATTTTGTGTGGAAATTAATAATGGACAGCTAAAATAAACTAAATACGCTGGAGCAGGACCTGCATTTGAGTTTAGAAAGTATTTCAGAAACAAGAAATGAGAAGAAGTGTAATTTGCATCCACATGTTCTGTTATAAAAACTGTGACATTTAATCCAAATGACAAGACTAAAAACTATATATATATATATATATATATATATATATATATATATATATATATATATATATATATATATATATATATATATATATATATATATATATATATATATATATATATATATATACATACATAGATAGATAGATAAATATATATATATATATATATATATATATATATATATATATATATATATATATATATATATATATATATATATATATATATATATATATATATATATATATATATATATATATATATATACATAGATAGATAGATAAATATAAATAAGTATGTTTATAACAGTGTAACAACAGCACTGTATGGGAGTTTGCTTTGAGTGTTTTTCTGAGCTGCAGCTCCAGCTTCCGGGTTTCTGTCTACGTCAGCTTTTACGTGCGACGCTGCAGGAACCATCCGGGTTTGCATCATCCGGGAGGGACGGGGCGCGCAGCCCGGGGTGAAGGGACAGAGAGCATCACCAGAATGGGCGCAATCTGCGGACAAATAAACTAACAAACATTAGCATATGTAAATGTTGAGCCAGAAGCGCCTCCTCCCTGCTGCAGCTCCGTGTCCGGGGGGTTCGCTGTGATAAAGCAGCGTGGGGACTCCGCGGAGCCAGTCGGCTGTGATCGTGGGGCAGCAGTGGCAGGACGGAATCCACCGAAGGTGTTTTTACCTGGAGCAAAGTGCGAAGTCCTCAATCTGAGGACAGATATGAGCTGTGAAGAGCTTTAATCTAACTTATGTGCGCCTTTTACAAAAGTCTCTTTAAGATATTAATTTAAACTCAGCATCAAAGATGTCTTGCCTTTTATTAGGAGTCATTCGAAGGTGAGTAGTCTATCAGTGCCATTCACTCATTTCTGATCTCATTTTATTGGAATAATAAATGTGTTTTTGATGTGACCTATCAGGTTCAACCTTTGTTCAATAGTTACTAGAAGCAGAGCTTGAACTTGTGGTTCTCCATTTCAGTCAGAAACTTGTCAGACTTGATTTGGCTGCACGTCAACCGACATTCAGGAAAATAAATATTTCTCTCTGTATGTTTGGTATAATTGTCTGTAATTCTTCCTTTTGCAAACTGCACTGTGCCTGAAGGCTTTGTGGTGAGGCCGCATCACTCAGGAGGCCTGGACTCAATGTGAGCAATCAGTTTAAATGAGTGTGTGCTTTTATTTCATCTCTAAAGGTGCATGCCAAGGACACATGTTGACGCTTTTCACCAGCACCAGGTTCCTGTGCCCTCTGTTTGTGTTTCTGCTTGAGGGACTGTTGCTGAGTGCATTCGTCAATGAAATGTGGTGTAATTCTGCATGTTTTGTGCATGTTTGTCTGCTGTGACGCTGCTGTTTAACCAGGATATGTCAGGCAGGGGCAGTGGGGTGTGCAGGGCTGTGGTGTGTGTGGATTGGCTTGTCCACTCAGAGGTGTGGTTCCTTTATGGCAGCCTTGGGGTTAGGGGATAGAGCTTGGAATCCTGAGGTACTGAGTTTGAGCCCCACTCTCACAAACTGCCACTCTGGGCGCCCCACGATGGCAGCCCACTGCTCCCCAAAGGAAAGGGTTAAATGCAGAAGTGATTTTCTCCAATGTGAGATCAATTATTATTATTAAATGAAAACAGATGGACCAGGATTCCTTGCCCTCCTTGCCGGATTGTCACGTTTACTCCTTCTCCCGAGGGTTAGAAACATCTTGATCCTACAAAACGCATCATGTGGCAAAATTCTTCAACTTATCTTGTTCAGGGTGGGACTGCAGAGGAGAACAGGAGGCAGTTTGGGGGGAAAACTAGAGCAAAGGTTACAGGCATACACAGCCTAAAGAGAATCAGATCGTCTTCAGAGAGGATCTGATCTGGCTCAACTAGTTTGACAGCATATTTCTAATTTTTTTTTACATGCTTCACCTCAATTTAAATTGAAATTCTATTCAGGTGATCTCCCGTCTTAAAATCGTGATCACACTCACTGTAATGTTTAGCTGTGTCCCTCCAGTTAGTGTAATTAACTGCATGACAGGATTAATGTGCCTAATTGATGAGCTGCATGGTTAGGAGCCTGACTGCTTTAGATCTGACTGAACAGACTGTTTTCATCTATATTGCTTTAAAAAAAGCTCTACAAAGGGTCTTTATCCCTAAAGGTTTCTGGGGCAAGGGTCTGTCTGTGGGTTAGGGGGGAATTTGTTTGGGGTTATTTGTTTAGTTTCCACCCCACTGATCTGTCATTGATCTGCTCAACTCAGCAAATGGTTACATCTTGAAGCTGCATGGTAATGTGTAAAATGTCAGGGTGCACAACTTCAGGAAAACAATTCTTTTCGTTTTCAGGAACAGATTAAAGGTTTTTCTAATCCTGAACTGTGTTTTAAAGAACGTCTATTCAATTTTGAAGTATAGAGATTAAGTTTTGGTAATGCAGTTTAGATTTCAAACAAAACAGCATTGAATACAGTCAAGATTGATAAAGAAAAGACATGAGATTCTTTGGGAAATGATAAAGTTGGTGCTAATATTAAAAGCTAGCAATTAGCTATAGCCTCACAGTGTAAATCATCAATGCTCTAAATCCCTTCTCTGTACCCAAAATGTCCTCACACAAAAAATGTAAATGTGTCAAAAGATTCTCCTGGACTTCCCTAAAGCCGGACTTACACTGTGCGATTTTTTTCAATCGTTGCACGCAGCTGCAGCTCACACTGTATGACGAAACGGCAGGGTTTTATCGTACAGTGTGAGTTTACAGCTCACGATGCATGTTCAGCCCAACCATCTAATGCGATCTACCTGCTCACAACATACGACTAAAAACCACGTGGGACTCAGCTCCACAGTGAGATGGCGCTACTTGGACTCATCTATCCAGAAGCCAAATGAGAAGAAGAGAAATTAGGCTCACTAGAGTGAAACGCGCTGTCTTGGCAGTTTGTGCAATTTTGTGCTGAAAGCCCTAAAAAGAAAAGGCGACGACGTATTTGGACAAAGACCAGGCTGAGCAAACGTGGCTACTACGGTCTGTCAATTTTACAGAAAGAACTCCATTTCCCTCGCTGCCCCCCATGCTGCTGTGTGTTCATCTGAGAGAAAGAGGAAGAAGAAGAATCCTTGTTTCCCCACTAAGCGATTAGCCCAGGATGGCCAACTGAAAATCAAACATGTTCGATTTTCTCTGACCTCACGACTCCTGATTGGGAAGTGTTCGTGAGAGGCTTGTTGTTAACCCCTGTGCCCTACACGACGCATAATCAGGCTGAAAGTCAGCCCTATCGAAAAATTCTCGCACACATTGGAAAGTTGGCCCAAAAAGGGCAAAAAATCGCACAGTGTAAGCCCAGCTTAACTGAGTGTTTTAGGCCGTACTAAACATCTTTAGCTGTTTTTAATTTGATTCACCGAAGCAACACAGACAATCGTCAATTTTGAGGACGACACAAGATTTTAGGGTGTTCTCGGAGTAAATACCTTTAAAATGTTTGAAAGGTCATAAACTAATTTTCCATTTCATTTTCCATCATGCTTAATCCCAAATCGGGTCACGAGGGCTGCTGGTGCCTATCTTCAGCGGGCGATAGGCGGGTACACCCTGGACAGGTCGCCGGTCCATCGCAGGCATAAACGAAGAAGTTTCCACTACCCAGATTTATTAAAAGCTGTTAGATTGTACTTTAGCTTGAAAGTACAGTGACATTAGCATGTATAGTTAATAAGTCACACAGTGCTAGCAAATGGTTTTGTGATTTTCTTTCTTTTAACAAGAACCCAACATGTTGCAAAAGACTTCAGAGAAGTGGAGGCTTAGTGCAATTCATCAAATGGTTAACATTTGATGAAGATCTGCTTCCTTTCCTCTTTCAAAATAAGACTCTTGTCATCAATAGATATCTACTCTGTTGATATCTAGACATTAGAAAGTTGTTTAAAAGTTATCAGGGCAGCTCCAAAGGCCTAGACTGAGTCAGAAATCAGAGGACGTCCCGTGTTAAGAGGCAAATCTTAACCACTGTGTCAGGGATGTAGTTTATGAGCAAATATCAGCAAACCTGCATGTACGTCAGCCCCGCCAATGTGAGGTCCAAAGGTAAGCCATCTAGGAACATGCTCACATGTTAAAGTCAAACAGAGGAGACAACAGAATATGGTACATGTGGAACATCCACAGTCAGCGTTTTCATTGTTACCATCCATTGTTCAGCTCCAAGCTGCATACAGCTATGAAGACCATGGCCCATAATGGGTATTCTGAAACCAAAAGGGTTTACCTTCTGGTTTACCATCTCTTGACATCCAGCTGCCTGATCTTACTTCCAGTTTATCTCCCAGATAAGAATATCAAAGATGAACACTTCCTCTCAGCCTTCTGGGACATTTACTTTGCACTCTCAGCACAAACTTCACCATGTTGATGATTAATTGTTCACTATGACTGAAACTAACCTCAAAGCACAGCTTCAAAGAAAGTAATTTAACCAGTTTCTAGCTCTTTGTCCTTGTGCTGCGGAGTCATACGTTCATCATCCTGTCTGCTGCATATTTCCTTGTCTTTTTAGACTTGATTTACGCGTTTATCTGCATGCTTTTATTGCATACGCGGTGTTCACCTAAAAAAAACACTCCGCATCTGAACAAGAGATAATGCCAATCTTTATGTCATCTACCTTATGTGAAAGTGCTACCCTTGTTAAACCAGCCAATCCTTTACTCTTGTTTAAATAGTTATCCGTACTCCCTCATAACTGCTGAACATACAGAGTTTAAGTAACCACATGGAGTCAGCAACAGCAGAGAAGATAACACTGTATGCTCTATGGTCAGGCAACACACACACACACAGGTTTGTGTTTTACCCGTAAACATGGCAACCGCTGCTCACTGGCTAGTGTACATGAATATTATGCTGCTGGCAAACAATAGCTTGGCTCCCCTACAGGCCCTCCTTTGTCCACAGATGTCATTATGAGGTTTGCAGTTCAACCTAAAAACCAGAAAAGACTAATCCGCACTTTTTTCCCATAAAAAATGCCAAAACAAAGCTATGGTTCCACATGAAAACATTAGATTACACTTGGCAGAGATAGAAGACTAAATCCATGTGAAAACTCCCTTAAAAAAAAGGACACTTGGATAGATGGTAAGGTCAGTGTCCTAACTAGAGCAGGTGTAGGAAAAGTATCGCTACTTGGCAATGACTAAAGAATCTGAACCAGTTCCTCACAACTACAGCAAAGTTTAGCTCTTAAGTTAAAGCACCTTGTCTCTACAGGCAGGGTGGAGTTGGGGCCGGTGTCGGGGTCCGCTCTCTGGCCTCCATCCCTTCCCTACCACCGGCAGTGGCTGATTTTGTGAAAGGAGCGGTAGACGAGTGCAAGCCCGCAAATGTCCAAGTAGTGACTGGTACTCCTGAGGAGACGGCCAACATACTGGCCGGCCTGGAAAGGGACGGCATGGTCAAGAAGCTTCCTAAATATGAGAACTGGTGAGTTATACTGATGACTGCCTATTAACATCTAGTTTACCCTGAAGTTCCTGCAGCTAAACTTAGTGTTTGGCAGTTGGCTGGCCCGCACAGACCCAAAGGACGTGGCCCGAGTAGAGAGTAAGACCGTGATTGTAACCAAGAACCAGAGGGACACCATCCCCATCCCCGCTGGAGGGGTGAAGAGCCAATTAGGAAGCTGGATGAGTGAACCAGACTGGCACAAAGCCAGAGAAGATCGTTTTCCTGGCTGTATGGCAGGTAGGTCTACTGATACATATGATCTAAACTATCTGGGTCACTTTCAATTACTTGAAAGGGTTAAGATTGCTGAAAGAAAGTTTTTCTGTTTGGGCCAAAGACCCAAGGCTATAGGCGACTGGTATCTCAGATGTATGTCTTATCTCATTGCTGCAAATAACAGCTGAAAGTGTCACAGATTACCCTCCAGACATGATCTGGGACATCTAAAAGACTTTAACCTCTTGATCAAACAGGCAATGCAAACCCTTATATTTACTCTCGCTTTGGTTAGTTTTTTTTTTTTTATCTTTATTTCACTGGTTTGATTTGTACTTCACCTGTGGTTGATGTCCATTAGTTTGGAGTCATAGATTATTTTAAAGGTTGCAGGTGGCAAAAGATGCAATGTCTCCTTCTAATGGTGTTGTGCCATTGTGGGAGTTTATCACTGACCTAAAATGTTTGAATTCTTTTCGCATTGTTTTATTAACTCTGCTGTTAAATGGCGGCTTTCAGTCAGTGTAGTTCAGTTAGGTTCTCTTATTTTGTGTGCATAGATGAAACATTGGCTTATTTAGGTACTGGGGGAGTACATAGCTCTGATGAATTGGACTATATACTGCGATCTGGCAGTTTGTCCAATGCTTTAGTTAAAGATGCTACTATCCTGCAACTTTTAGATGCATCCCTGCTCCTCCTAACTTACATGAATGGCTCTTTTCCAGACTTCTAACTACGTGAATGAAATGCTAATGTAGGAATTTCACCGTTTGATTCAGTTGTACCCAAAAGTTGCAAGATTGTAGCTCTGGAGGACTCCACATTTTCCTACACCTCTGAGAAGATTAAAGACCCTTGGGTCAGATTATAAAGTGCTTAATCAAAACTGAAGAAAACTTTAGACTAAATTTATAGGCAGATTGTGGTTTTATAATCCAGTACCGAATCGTAGACTTTTTTTGGTGAGCAAAGTCAACAAGAACATTTTGAATTTTCTTGTTCTGCAACTGAAATATTCAGATCAAGAGTGAGACGTTGCAATATTGAATGTCAGTTTTGAAAAATCTAAGTATCTAAAACACATTTTTTGTTTCCATAAACAGACTGGTCCCAGATCTGATCTTTTTATTTAATAATCTACAATAAAGGTATAAAATAAAGGTATAAAATATTTCCATCCTGGGTTTAATAGTGTGTTCATCATGATAAATACACTTATCCCAAGCAAAGAGGTGGTTCTTAGTTGTGTTCAGAGTTAAAAGGAATCTGTTCTGGTTTCACCAATTTAATCATACAATAAAATCAAGAGCTAACTAAGCCCCAAATGTAAACAATCTTTTTTAAAGTCGTTTAATCAGATCCCAAATTCAGTGTCATTAGCCCTCTGTTGCATATTTTTTGTTGTTTGCAATTCCAAACTTGTTTGGGGCACAACTCATGTAAGTCTTAAAGTAATGGTCTCCCCCCAGTATCAAGCTTCATCAGCCACTTGATGCCACTTTATGATGCTGATTAACTGTTTCTTTAATGAAATATCTCCTAGTTTTTTATTTCTTTATGATACCAATAAATGGTGGTTTGCCAGTAGTATACTACAAATAGGCAGGGAAAAAAAGTATAAACAAAGTAAACATAAAGTACAAATGTTATCATAATATCTGCTCATAGACGTATAACTGAATTGATGAGCATTCCTGATTTGTCTTTGGTTTATTCTGTGTTACTTTTTGTGTAGACTTAAAAATCTACGTTAAAGTGAGTGTATATGTCCTATGACTTCATGTGACTGTATGCTGGTCTCTAATTAGCAAAATAGAGGGGGCTAAAAGTTGTGGCCAATCAGTGCTTTGTTTTTCATCCTTCATCCAATCAGATTAAACCATGATGTATGTCAGTCAAAGTCAAACTCATGGCGGATTAGTGGCTGTTCCCACAGATGGAAGTTGAAGTTGGGAACGACTGATTCAGCAAAAGAAAACTGAAGACATTTATTTAAAGATGAATAAATGCAACTAAAGAAAATTAGACCGGATTAAAAAAATTCAGCAATAGGCAGGTAGAGTTCATTACTATGTTGTAATCCCTGATCTCTAGTGCGCCCCTTGATAATTTCCTATCACCTGCTGTCATGTCAACATGAACCCATGGAGCAAACCATCAAACATCAGTTTATTTGAAGACACAACTCTGACCCAAGGGTTGTTCTCTCTGACTTTAAACAAACAAAGTCTAAAAAAAATGATCTATTTCTACATTTAAGCTCTTAAAAAACTGACTTATCTATTTGTCCGGCACCTTTCCCTTATTTCTTTAGCATTTTAATATCTACCAGCTGCTGTTTTAAACAGGATTAATGTGATTATAAAAACAAAAAAAGGGTTTATTTTCATTTTATATTAAAAAAAATCCAACTTTTATTGCAAATATCTGTCAAAAATATAGAAATAATTATCCCTAATGGTTTTCTAATTGCGTGTTTTGGTTTTCCTTGTAGGTCGGACCATGTACGTGATTCCCTTCAGCATGGGACCTGTGGGCTCAACACTAAGCAAATATGGTGTCCAGGTACTTTCTGTTCTCTAGATACCTGCTACTCAGCAAAAACAACCTGCAATAAAACCATAAGCCTGCAGGATTGTTTTAGTCGTGAATGATTTGTGATGCATTGTTGTGGTTTATTGTCTAGCCTGATTAGTCTCTGTGCAGTTTTATGATCATAACCTCTGGGTCTTGTGCATCCTCCAGGTGACAGACTCTCCATATGTGGTGGCCAGCATGGGGATCATGACCCGTATGGGCAGTCCTGTTCTGCAGAAACTGTCTGAAGGAGCGGAGTTTGTCCGCTGCCAGCACTCGTTAGGACGACCTCTCCCACTCAAAGGTACGCAGAAACGTTTACTTTTGTACTTCAAGGAAGTATTCATGGGAAAACTCACTTTCATTATTCTCTCCTCTAGCTCCTCTAGTCAACTCTTGGCCTTGCAACCCGGAGAAAGTCCTAATATCCCACCTACCGGACACCAGGCAGATCTTGTCCTTCGGCAGTGGTTATGGAGGAAACTCTCTGCTTGGGAAGAAGTGCTTTGCTCTCCGCATCGCCTCCCGCATCGCCAAGGATGAGGGCTGGCTGGCTGAGCACATGTTGGTGAGAGCAAAAGAAAAACATTAAATCAGTTTGCATACACTGTAGAGCCATCTTTGTTCACCCTTTTTTTCTGTTCTTAGATCCTTGGGATCACAAACCCTCAGGGTGTGAAGCGTTACGTCGCGGCTGCCTTCCCCAGCGCCTGTGGTAAAACCAACCTGGCCATGATGAAGCCTGCCCTCCCAGGCTGGAAGGTGGAGTGCGTGGGAGACGATATTGCATGGATGAAGTTTGACAGTCAAGGTAAGTGCTGGTCTATTGAAATCCACTCTGACTTTGTGACTACAGGCTGCTCTGAATCAGGCCTTTCACTCCTCTGTAGGCAAACTCAGGGCCATCAACCCAGAGAACGGGTTCTTTGGAGTCGCTCCAGGCACTTCGGACAAGACCAACCCTTACGCCATGGCTACCATCTCCAAAAACACGGTGTTCACCAACGTCGGCGAGACGAGCGACGGCGGAGTGTGGTGGGAGGGGCTCGACCCCCCTCCGGCTGGAGTTACTCTGACTGATTGGCATGGAAAAACATGGAAGCCAGGTACCAGTGGAATCATATTCAGACTCGCTAGGCCCTAAAAGGTGGCAATAAAGTTTGATTGATGTAAATATCTCCTTAGATAAAGTTTTTCTCCACATTTACCACATTATTACTTGTCATAAAGTCATTTTAAATGCAAATGGTGTACAGCACCATCTAGTGGTTTACCAAAGTAATTACTTTTTTATGTTTTGAAACAGTTTCAACAATTTGAAGCATATTTTTGATATACTTATAATAATAATAATAATAATAACATTTAATGCTTTGAACACAATAAAAAAATGTTTTTTTCTTTTTGCACACAGGAAGCTCCACACCATGTGCCCACCCCAACTCACGCTTCTGCACCCCAGCAGCTCAGTGCCCCATCATTGACCCCCAGTGGGAGAGTGAGGAAGGGGTTCCCATTGATGCCATCATCTTTGGAGGCAGAAGGCCTGAGGGTTTGTACTCGCTCATATAAAACACACTCAACCAGTCAGATTTCTATAACATTTTACAAGCCGGAAGCTATAGATAGAGGGATCTTTGACCAGTTCTCTTTGCACAGTGTCTCTGAATTGAACTCTTGCATGTTTTTCTCTTTAGTCAATGCTGATAAAACTTAGGTCAGGTGATGGAGATGGCCATGAAATATTTTTGTTTTTGCTATTCTGCTTCATCTTGGTGATATCATGCAAAAAAACAACAATTTTAGTTCTCTAGAAGAGTCCACCAAGTGTCCCCTCTTCTATATACACGTTTCTCCGTGGGATTTGGAAAAGTATCAGGCCCACAGCATCATAGATCCTCCTCTGCACTTAACAGTGGGGAGGGAGTTCATTTCCTCTATTTATAGGTTATTTCAGATCAAACTGAAATCGACAGTTTGTTGCTCTTTTTTCTGCCTAAACAGTGAATTTATTAAAGGTTCTAGTAAAGTTTAACCCATTACCAGGAGGGACTTTTTAACTGAAATGCCCACTGACACTGCTGGTAGCATCTAATGTTTCCCAGTGATTATCTAAACCCTTAATGATCTCATCCTTTGCTGCAGTTCTCTTCCTTCCAGTATCTTAATTAGCAAGAAAAGCATGAGTCCCCCCTGGTAATTCTAATTCTGCTCTTTTTTTATTATGCCTCTGGCTGCACACCTCTTGTACAAGTAGTTTTTTGCTTCTCTTTTCTGACTTTTAAAGGCGAGTTTATTTCTGCCCTTTTGAATGACATGCTCCTTATATTTCTGATGATAAACTCATATTTATTTGCCTTGGGAAATAGTTATAGGTCAATAATAATACTTTTCTAGAAACCTTGGTTAGCTATAAGGGGTAATGTCTAAATGATATTGTAAAAAGAAATAATGGGGTAAAGGAATAGTTCCTCACAAAATCTATATTTTTCAGTGAAATGTTTTTATTTCCAAAATTCAGAGCAGTTATAATAGTTTATTGTCTTCATGATAAAAAACAAAGCAAATAACTTACCACAGTTAAGTTAATTTTAGTAACTTGTACCAAAATTAAAAAACAGCTTCAGTAAAGAAGAAGTTATATTTTTTGCTTTCAGGAGTCCCGCTGGTCTATGAGTCTTTCAGCTGGCAGCATGGAGTGTTTGTTGGAGCTGCAATGAGGTCAGAGGCCACAGCAGCAGCGGAGCATAAAGGTAAGCATCTTCAGACATTTGGAGGTTTACATTTCTAACTAGAAACTTTTTTAAATTCATGAAAATGTACTTTTCCTCCAGGTAAAGTCATCATGCATGACCCCTTCGCCATGCGCCCGTTCTTTGGCTACAACTTTGGAGACTACCTCGCTCACTGGCTGAGCATGCAGACCAGGAAGGCCCCCACTCACCTGCCTAAGATCTTCCACGTCAACTGGTTCAGGAAGGACCCGGCAACCGGTGCCTTCCTCTGGCCCGGGTTCGGAGAAAACGCCCGCGTGTTGGAGTGGATCTTTAAGCGCTGCGGCAGAGAGCGGGAAGACGAGGCGGCCAGAAAGAGCTACGTCGGTTGGCTGCCAGAAGCCGGCGCCATCGACACTAAAGGTTTGGGCAGTAAGGTGGATATGGGCGCCCTGTTCGATGTGCCCAAACCTTTCTGGCAGAAGGAGACCAAGGAGCTGAGAGCGTACTTCACCCAGCAGGTGGGAGCTGACCTGCCCGCTCAGGTGGAAGCTGAGCTAAAGGCGCTAGAGGACAGAGTCCACAGTTAGACACGTTTAAAACCAGGGATAGGAAGCTAATCTGGAAGAAGGGAGGCACTCAGGGAAGACAGGTTATCAGGGTCAGTCAGAGCCACTGACTGGGTTTACATATGCAGAGAAGTCTGACACATGCTAATCTAAAAACATGTTTTTCTGTGCTACTTGACGACAAACAGGTAAAAATTAGAAGATCAAACTTCCTCTGTCCGTTTGAACACAGTCAGTGAGCCCTGCTGTCCCCAAAAACACAATAGCTACATTTTAGACACTACAAATGCTGCAACAATAAAGCAACCGGTGCCCAGTTAGCACCAACATTGAATTATAATACTCAGGCTGAAGGTTAATTTCTGAGAGGGACCCAAACATCTCTACCTCCTTCCACACACACCTGCCAGCATGTCGCCGGCGTCCAATCAGGGACCTTGAAGTGCCTTGTAGAGTTTACAGGCTTTAAACTAAATAGCTTTTTAAGTAATATTTTTTACACCTTTAAAACATTAACACACATTTTAAGACACAGTGTCTTAAAATGTTTTTTATTACTGAATTAAGCTCATCTTGATTAACTCGTTCCCTACAATGATATTTTAAGAACCCAGGATCTTTAAATATATATTTCACTCGGCCGCTTGTGTAATGATTGTGATTAAATAGGAATTCAGCTGATGTTTACACTCAGTTTGTTAAATGTTGGACCAATAAACGCCTCAGAGATTATCAGCCGTTTTTTTTAAGTTTATATGACAGTGCAATGAAAGAAAAAATCTTCATATGTGACTTGTTCATTTTTACAGTGACTTGAAAAATAAATGGTGCCTTGTGAAAGTTTTCATTTTGTTGGACTTTTTTGTTTCCCTTTTCTCTTTCAAACACCGAATGATGAGCTTGTTCGGTTTTATATGTTAGTTCATAATATAAAATATATTAAAAAAAAAAATATATATATATTGGAATATAACTCAGTTAATTTAAGAATCTCATGTTATTATTACATTGATTTGTTATTTTCATGACTACAATACATATATATATATATATATATATATATATATATAATTTTTTTATTTCATCAATTAGGAAGATTATGCCTCACAGCTAATATAAACTCAAAGTCGTTTTTTCAGTTTATTAAATATTGCAAAAGCCCAAAAAGTTTATGAATCTAAAAAATACACTGGTTTCACTCTGATGTCTGATATAATTTATAAAATACATAATGCAAAAAGTGAGAAAAAAATATTTTAAAATTTGGGTAAATATATTGCAATCATTTTACATTAAAAAAAAACTTTTAGTTCATTAAAGTTAAACCACAGAGTAACGCTGCATCACAGCTGTGAGTCTGCTGCCACCTAGCGGTTGCCTTTAGGAGGGACATTAACCAGATGGAGAAGGACATGCACTCTTGAAGCATTTTGGGTCATGTTACCCAAGGACAGTTGTTGGTTTTCTGTTCAATTAATGAAAGCAGATACAATTTTACCAGATTTGATCAAATGTTGATGTAAATAAAATCTAAAATATTAGGATGCTGCTAAGTAATTTAATATTTTTCATTTTACGCATATTCTCAACCCCACCTTGAGTGTTTTTCTCTCAGTAAACAAAGAAAACGCATATGATATTAATAAAAAACATATGTTACTCCAATAAAGATAATATTTAATGTTCAAACAGTTGTTCTGCTCTTCTTTCTCTTGCTCTTCTTAATCATCAAAGGAGACAATGAGTTCAGCTGTTAACATCATTCTTATACTAATATTTGACAGAGACAGTTTTTAAAGACCAGCCATTATGAAAGACACATTTCTTTTGAGAGAGTAGCAATAATACCCAAACCAATTAGATAATCTCAGGGATCTTGTCAGGATTTGGTTGAGGTTTAAGGACCCAAATGCAGAGGCAGGGAGGCAGAGGTGGGTTTCTTGATGATTTAATGAAGTGTTTTCAAACAACTGAGGCAGGAATCCAAAAATCCAACAATAAATCCAACAAGAAAAAAGTTAAACCAACCAGAAAACATAGACATCAGGGGGGAAGACTATCACGAGGAGGAAGACGGAGTTAGAGGAACTGAACAGAGGGTGTATTTATGGGAGACTGAAAGACTAACGAGCAGATTGGGAGCAGGTGTGAACAGCAGGTGTGAACAGAGCAGACAGGAAAAGAACTAGAGAAAGAGAAGAACACAAGAGGGCAGCAGAGGGCAACAAATAAAAACCTGAAAACAACCAGAAAACACAAGAAAATAAGAATTAAACCACCAAAACAAGAAAACATGGAGCAAAGTAAAAATGAAAACTCAAAAGAAAACATAACAGAACCAGAACTATGACAGTATCAGACGTCTATTGGAGAACACACACCATTGAATATACAAGTTAGACATGTTTCTTAAAATAAAATCTTTGCAGCTTATCTTTCATGCTTGACCTCATCATCCAAGTCGACAATAACCAATCACCTCTGCATTTAACCCATCCCCTTGGGGAGCAGGGGGCTGCCATTGTGCAGCGCCTGGGGAGCCGTTAAGTGTTTTGCTGAGGGACCCAGAGTGCAGGCTGTGGTGAATCGAACCAGGTATTTGCAACCTTCTCTGAGCACAAGCGCACTGCTCTAACCACTGGACCAACACTTCCCCAGTAAGAGACAAATATATTTTAATGCCAAATTGACGGTGAACACCAAGCAGTTGAGATGGTGCCTAGAACTTATTTTGAGTCTAATCAGCATTATTTGAACATTAATTTCAGGGATGCTATCTCAACGTTGATTAGATTAGTAAAATCAAAAGTAAATTTAGCAGATATCCATCACAACTAGCTCGTTATGATTCAACAGCGCGTTATGTCAAAACCCAGTGCCATGTCCAGTATCTGCTCCTATTCCTTTTTTCAGCAGAGCTGCAAAGTAAGAGACAAACATAAAGACATTCTATACCGATCCTTTTTGTCAAGCCTCTGATTCATGCCTTTAATCCAAGTGTTTCTTAGGACCAATAAAGAGAAAAAGGAGTGGACAGACGTCTGTGTGGCTGTTTGCGATGTGGCTCCTCACTACCAGAACTACAAGAGTGGCAAGATGCCGTGTGGTATCTTAGTTGTTATGATTATTGTTTTTCACATTAATAGAATAAGCAGGAGAAAATGGATGCAAGATTAAAGTTTGTGTCCAAACTAGGAAAGATGGGAAAGATGCTTTTAGAGGGGTCAATCTGGTTTGACCCATGCAAGCTACTTCTTTAGACAGCTACTTTATGACACAACGTAATTTTTATGACATGCCTGATCATGGCTTCGGGGAGTGAGGGTGATGGGATTGCGTGGCGAGAGGGACATTTTTTTTTTTAATGTATTAAAAATACTTTGTAGAATTTATAAATTTCTTATGAACATTTTGGGAAATGATTTAGACTTTTACTATTACATGTTTTTGGATTTTAATGTCATTATTTTGATGCCTTATCAACACATGTTTACGGAAGTTACATTGTCATAGCAATGTCATGCAAGCTAGTAGCAGACTAGGAAATTTACATGTCTAATGACAGAAACAAGGAGGAAATATGGCACAGAAACGCATTTTGGATTTTCTTGGAAAACCACCACTAGTGAAGAAGAACACTAGTACCGCAGTCATGGTAACGTAGAGCAGTCAGAGTGAGGAGACTGTCCGCCCACCTCTGATGGCAGTCGCACCACTAGGCCAAGCCTCAATAGCGTGGTTGGATTAGAAAAGCCCTTTCAGGCAACATCCAGTTTAAAATTTAAAGCATGGTGTCGTGGTAATGAGACGTTCTCACATTCTTGGTTTGCTAGATGGCGGTGGCTGCACTATGTGGAAAAGACTGATCAAATTTTGTGTTTCCTTTGTCTTAAAGCAGTGAGACCTAGAGAGAGAAGTCATACCTAGAGACAAATTTAAGAAAGAAAACCCCCATTAAATAATACTACTAATACTTCAGCGATAGTATTAAGGTGTTACTTTATTGTATCTCTTATACTATATCCGTTGGTTGTGCTGTTCTTTTTACATCTCCTTGCAGGTGATGAAGTAGACCGAAGATGTTTTATCGTTATCTCCCTTTTATCTCCTCTTCCTTTTCTTTACTGTTTTACTTACATTGCAGTGTCGATATATTCTGTAATACTCCCTGCATGAATTATAATAGAGCAATTTATATGCATAAATCAAGCGAAAAACCATGGAGATAGCTGTAGTTTTTCAATTGTGAAAGCAAAATCTGTTGGGCTTTCGTTTATTTGCATCAAGACAATTATTCTTACTGCCACATCACCCGACAGGACACTGTTATTTAAAAAAAGAAGAAAAAAAAGAAAAGACAACCCATTCAGGAATGGCGTTTCAAATTGCTGTAAAGCCACTGAAGATGATTTTATTAGAAGTTTAATTAATAGTGCATATATTCATCTGAGAACTGATTAATGTGAAGTAAAGAAGTAAATATCTCAATCTATTTATTTATTTTTATTTATTGTATTTATTGAGCCCTATAGGCTCATGGTTCTTTTGTTCGAATAAAAACAACAACAAAAAAATTACCCCCTGTTCAAAATTACTTCCAGCGGCCCTGTGCCTGGCATTTCTAGATACCTGGACCTGGACTTGCAACGGTCTGTTTCTGGCCTGTTGCTGTTGTTAGCTGCTAAGCTATTGGTTACCTTGACAATGTGGTTTAATAAGCAATCCATTATCATCACATCAAATGTATTGTGTTTATTGTTAATTGTTCATTGTTGGATTAAATAAAACTTCATTGATTTGAATGTTACCAAAGATTTTTACTGCACATCTATATGCAATTTACATGATCTGTTCTGCTTTCAAAGATAATAGCAACATAACAATCAAATTTGACCATGTGCAAATTTGCAAATGCTCAAAACATACTTAAGCATGCTTTTTAACCATTAGCAAAAAATAATATAAATATGCATATATAGATTAGCATCTGTATTTTAAGAGACCACTGTCTCCAGAGATGAGATTATTCACAACACAGCAATTTCCTCTTCAGTGCGGAGATCCTCTGGACTGTTAGTGAGCACTTTGAACTGTTCACACTTGGTCTCCGGATGTTCCTGGTCCTGAACCGAGAAGGAGGAAACTTCAGGCCTGCTCTGAGTGAAATTCATATTTCCATCATGGAGTTTTTCATTTGATTTGTTGGCTATCATGTGAAGATCAACGTCCGCACACCCGGTTGATTCTGTGGAAAAATACATCTTCTGATTCGGTGGTATTTAAAAAAAAACACATAACATTCTTAACATGGTAAAACTAAGTGGACTTTTGTGGAACATGATTTATGCTCCTGTTCATAATAAACCATGCACCCTAGGATCAATGGTGTGATATCATGACGTTCAACTGTGTGATGTGTAACTTAAATCTTGCTTTACATTACATTACCATAAAAACAAAAAAAAAAAGAAAATGGTAGGGTATTAGAATAAAATTAGATATAGTTTGATTGGGATAGAAAAGCAATCTGTTTGAAATAAGTAACAAATTAGACAAATAAAAATTGTATGCAGTAAGAAAATCCTATTAGTGATCTCATTTTTAGATCAGCTTGTTCAGGCTTTGGTGTTCCAAGGCTATGTGGGGGTGCCTTACTGAAATGAAAGCCGGTAATGAAATTATACTAGTAAAGTATTATTCTTCATGCAAATACCTTACAAACCAACATATGAGAACTCCCTGCATTACTGATAGTTGTTGACACCTCGTACAGGTGCTTCCGCCGAGAAGCTTTATGTTTGATCTTAATGAACCTGAAAAACATTAAAGACAATCCTATTATGCTGTGTTTCAATTGACAACACAAAAAGACAAGCTTAAAGATAGTCAAGGCAGATCTGAAACAAGAATTGTGGATGAGTAGGATTAAAATTAGGTACTTATGGCACTGTTAGGTCTCTCTATGCCTGGGGTCAGGGCGTCGTCTGCATAGAATGGTGAGCTGCGCTACTCTGCTTTTAATTGGCTAGTACTCACCACCTTTAATGATTACATTGGTTAACTGTAGGCATGATGATCAGTGAGCCAATCGGAGGCAGAAAACGGTGGTTCATGCTGAGGTTATTATTGCTCATATATAAAATAACATTTACAACTTGTTAGAGTTCTGGTTCTGATATGTTTTTCTTTTGAGTATCCAGTTTTACTTTACTCCTTCTTTTTTAGTTTAAATGTTTTAATTTTTGTTATGTTTTCTGGTTAATTCCTAGTTACTGTTTCAGTCTTGGTTCTGTTTTGTTTCCTTTTGAGTATCCAGTTTTGCTTTACTGGTTTGTTTTCTAATTTAAAGGGTTTAATTCTTATTTTGTTGTGTTTTTCTGGTTATTTTCAGTTTTCTTGGTTTCAATTTGTTGCCCTCTGCTGCCCTCTTTTGTTCTCCTTTTTCTCTAGCTCTTTTCCTCTCTTGCTCTGTGCACACCTGCTCCCAGTTTGCTAATTAGCCCTCTCTTTGTTTCTGTCTCCTATAAATGCTCTTGCTGTTCAGTTCCTCTTTGCTGGGTCCTTGTCTAACTTCGTCTCACATGCTCCTACTTCGTCTCTCTGAGTCTCCCTCATTGAGTTTTGTTTCTTGGTTTGTTTCTTCTTATTTTTTCATGTTTTTAATTTTGGACTCCTGTTTTCTTGTTTGTTTTTTGGACTTTGTTTTCATTTTGGATTTTGGATTCTTGGTTGTCTGTTTGTTTGGACTTTGCTTTTTCAGTTACCCTTCATTGAACCAACCATAAATTCACCTCTGCTTGCCTGACTTTGCTTTTGGGTCCTCAACTCTCAAACAAATCCTGACACAAGTTTAGTATAATCTTAAGGATTAACAAAGAATCGATAATTTGAAGGGAGTTAGTCAAACAACACTTTTATTTTCTAACCACAAACATCCTTGTGAATTAATGGTATAGTGGAGGATTTTCATGAATTTTTGAAAAGATCTGCTGCCTCCACTGCACATGCGCAAATCTGTACCCGCTCCTGAGAGGTAACGCCTATTAAACGCATGCAAGAGCATGCACAAGCCCATTTCTCCCTGTGAACACTCTGTTTAAAAGTTGCTGTTTGCATGGCTCATGCAAGCTTACTTTCCAAAGGAAGATTTGCAATTTTTCCACTATGTCAGACCTACCACTGTACGTAGGATGGCCTTACGTAAACATATCACCAGAATGATTGACATTTTGGATGACCACTTATTTTTATGATCCACCTGGAGAAAGAACATCCTCCACTATACCTTTAACATTAGCCAGCAAATCAGCTATTGTCAGCAATGTTACCCCATTACAATTAAGCCTAACGATGCCCACTCTGCCCCCCCATCCCCGTTGGACAAGATGCTGTCAGTGAAGAAGAAGGTACCTCTTCGCCCTTAGCCAAAGATACCCACTTCTCCAGGGACCAGTACACTACTGGGTAGAGTGCCCTCTCTCGGTTGGGAGGAGTTTAAGTATCTTGGGGTCTTGTTCAGGAATGAGGGGAAGATTGAATGGAAGATCGATAGATCTCTCTGTAGTGTGCCTGGCCTCGCCCTTAGAGTTAGGGTGAGGAGCTCAGTCATCCAGGGGGGACTCAGAGAAGAGCCGTTGCTCTTCCATGTCGAGAGGAGCCAGTTGGGGTGTCTCAGGCATCTGGTTAGGATGCCTCCTGGTTGCCTCCCTGCTGAGGTGTTCCTGGCATACCCATCATGAGGAGACCCAGAGGGAGACCCAGGACACACTGGAGGCACTATGTTTCTCGGCTGGCCTGGGAGCACCTTGGGGTTCCACCGGAGGAGCTGGGTCAAGTGGCTGGGGAGAAGGACATCTGGGCCTCCCTACTGAAACTGCTACTGCCAAGACCTGATCCCAGATAAGCGGAAGAAGAATGATGGAGTTCTCTGTGAAGTTTTAATTTCCACCACTATATGGCCCTCAGACTGTATTAATGCATAGATTTCAGTATATTGTTGTTTGGGGAGTGATCAGCATGTCACAGATATTGTTTAATCCTCCCTGTTAGTAATTCAGAATTGAGACGTACTATCTGTGCTTTAACCCAGTTTCATTAAAGCCTCAGAGTTGTATTTGAGAGAGATTATAACTGTTTTCTGTATAATTTGGAAACGCTAATTGCTAGCCATTTAACATTGAATAACGCAACACTTTTGGTTTCCCTCCCATTTTTTATGAGATATACTCAAAGATCTAAAACCATACACAATACAACCATCCATCCATTTTTAAACAAGCTTATCCCAAATGGGATCGCGAGAGGTGCTGGTGCCTATCTCCAGCTGTCTACGGGCAAGAGGAGGGGTACAGCCTGGACAGGTCGCCAGTCCATCGCATGGCAACACAGAGACACACAGAAAGCCAGAGTACCCGGAGAGAACGCACACAAGCTCAGGGAGAACATGAAAACTCCATGCAGAAAGACCCCGGGCTGGGAACCGAACCTAGAACATTCTTTCTGCAAGGCAGCAGTGCTACCCACTCAAATATTGTTCACACACCACTCTAAATCTATGATAGTGAGCACTTCTTCTTAGGGTCTGCCTTAGACTGCCCACTACATTTGTTAAGACATTTCTGAGTGGTGGATATTATTAAAGAAAAGATGGACTTGCTTTTAAAGCTGAAACATTATTTAAACGGAGAACTTAATCTTAACTTAATCTAGGGGAGTATAAAGGGGAGTATACCAGTTCATTATATAGAATCCACACCTATCATGCAGCCATAAGTCCTTTAACCATCATGTGAGCTTTCTCTGGGTCAGTGAAGCTCCTCTGTCATTCCACCCCAATTTGTAATCCTTAGTTTTGCGGGGTACATAAGGCTATACTTGCACCTCCACAACAGCGGTCTTATCTGCCATAAAAGCCATCCTCTGCCTCACTACATACTTTATGTAGTCAGGGAACATTGATAATGTCATCTTCTTTGAAGACAAATGTTGATTCCTTAACTGTCCTCTGTTAGATGTTCTTCTCTTGGTAGTGTTTAGCCATAAACCATGATACTTTTGTTGGACATTGGGGACCAATGTACATGCTTATGTTAACTTAAGGAAGTTTCCAACTTGTGCAACCCTCCGCCCCCTCACAAGGCACTCCTACAGGAACATGAGTCCTGCCCCCCATTGTGCTTTAGGACAAAGCAAGCAACTCACTGAGACTCTGTGTTTTCGCTATGAAACTCTTCTCAGGATTGCAACAGAAGGCCAGGACCTTGCAGGATCTGCAGACTGATCAAAGGCTTAGTGGACCTGGGGGCTAATTCTGAACCAAAGGGCTCCAAAAATAGACCAATCTGCAACAGTTCTCTATGAGTTACAGGAAACTTTCAGATGACTGATGAGACTTGGAGAGTAGAGCATTGAGAACAAAGATCCCCTGCTGTGTGCCTGCCATACTAAGCTGCTGAATGAGATACACTATATTGCCAAAAGTATTTGCTCACCCATCCAAATTATTGGAATCAGGTGTTCCAATCACTTCCATGGCCACAGGTGTATAAATTCAAGCACCTAGGCATGCAGACTGTTTTTACAAACATTTGTGAAAGAATGGGTCGCTCTCAGGAGCTCAGTGAATTCCAGCGTGGAACTGTGATAGGATGCCACCTGTGCAACAAATCCAGTCGTGAAATTTCCTCGCTCCTAAATATTCCACAGTCAACTGTCAGCTGTATTATAAGAAAATGGAAGTGTTTGGGAACGACAGCAACTCAGCCACGAAGTGGTAGGCCACGTAAACTGACGGAGCGGGGTCAGCGGATGCTGACGCGCATAGTGCGAAGAGGTCGCCAACTTTCTGCAGAGTCAATCACTACAGACCTCCAAACTTCATGTGGCCTTCAGATTAGCTCAAGAACAGTGCGCAGAGAGCTTCATGGAATGGGTTTCCATGGTCGAGCAGCTGCATCCAAGCCATACATCACCAAGTGCAATGCAAAGCGTCGGATGCGGTGGTGTAAAGCACGCCGCCACTGGACTCTAGAGCAGTGGAGACGCGTTCTCTGGAGTGACGAATCGCGCTTCTCCATCTGGCAATCTGATGGACGGGTCTGGGTTTGGCGGTTGCCAGGAGAACGGTACTTGTCTGACTGCATTGTGCCAAGTGTAAAGTTTGTTGGAGGGGGGATTATGGTGTGGGGTTGTTTTTCAGGAGCTGGGCTTGGCCCCTTAGTTCCAGTGAAAGGAACTCTGAATGCTTCAGCATCCCAAGACATTTTGGACAATTCCATGCTCCCAACTTTGTGGGAACAGTTTGGAGCTGGCCCCTTCCTCTTCCAACATGACTGTGCACCAGTGCACAAAGCAAGGTCCATAAAGACATGGATGACAGAGTCTGGTGTGGATGAACTTGACTGGCCTGCACAGAGTCCTGACCTCAACCCGATAGAACACCTTTGGGATGAATTAGAGCGGAGACTGAGAGCCAGGCCTTCTCGTCCAACATCAGTGGGCAACCTCACAAATGCGCTTCTGGAAGAATGGTCAAAAATTCCCATAAACACACTCCTAAACCTTGTGGACAGCCTTCCCAGAAGAGTTGAAGCTGTTCTAGCTGCAAAGGGTGGACCGACGTCATATTGAACCCTATGGATTAGGAACGGGATGTCACTTAAGCTCATATGTGAGTCAAGGCAGGTGAGCAAATACTTTTGGCAATATAGTGTATCTCCACCTTTCCTGGATTGAGATCAGAAGAAGTTATAGGTCTGGCAAAGATAGGGAAAGAGTTTCTGGGTAAATAATTCAGATTAATGTTGGTTTTGGATCATCTGATGTGCTTTCTGTTGTGTATGACAAGCAGACAAGATATTGTACCCTATGCTGGCATGTTTTGAGCTGTGCCAAGAAATAAAGCTAAAACAAGCTGTTCACATGTTTCCTTATATGCTCATCACATTTTATTATCAAAATATGACCAAAGAGTCTTTTAGGATGAGTCCTAGTTTCCAATATAATAATAATAATAATGATGATGATAATAATAATAATAATAATAATAATAATAATAATAATAATAATAATAATAATAATAATAATAATAATAATAATAATAATAATAATAATAATAATAATAGCCCTGCGATGGAGTGGCGACCTGTCCATGGTGTACCCTGCCTCTCGCCCGTAGACAGCTGGAGATAGGCACCAGCACCCCTCGTGACCCCAGTTGGGATAAGCGTGTAAGAAAATGGATGGATGGATGGATAATAACAATAATAATAATAATAATAATAATAATAATTGAACTTTATTGATCTTACACTGGAGGTTCCCCCCCCCCCCAGCGTTTTATTTTCATTGCACTCTCACAAGTACAGTGCAACAAAATTAATTCTCTGCCTTTAAGTCATCCCCTTGGGGAGCAGTGGGCTGCCATTTGCGGCGCTTGGGGAGCAGCGTGGGGCTAAGGGTCTTGCCCAGAGACACAGAGTGAAGGCTGTGGGGATCAAACCGGATACTTGCAACCTACTCAGAGCACAAGCGTACTGCTCTAACCACTAGGCCAACACTCCCTGGTTATCATACTTTATTGTCAAAAAAGAGCACCTCACTCCCAGATGGTTCATCAACACCTTTGACAATGAGGCACCTCTTATCTCGAATCAGTGAATGAATACAATTAAATTACAAAAGTAAATGTTCATCAAATTATTTTCTTGAACTAATTTGCGTTTCTTTTGGCTAGTTATATTAGATGCTAAAAATGTTCATACTCACCAAAGTAAAGCTAACAGGCAGAGGATCACAGTTCCTCCAACTAGAGTGGTCACCCAGAAAATAAATCCAGATGGCAAACCTCAAACAACAAACAAAGAAAATATATTATTGTTCTTTTGTATAGTTTTAAAATTTGAGCAGTTTCTTGCAATTGTGGTTGTTTTAAAGTGTTTTATGAATAAAGTGGGTATGGTTTGATATGGTAACAGATTTGAGCTAACTTTAGAATAACTATGCATAAATATCTACCTTTATTGCCAGGATGAATCACTGCTGATCTCTGATTCCCCAGATCATTTGTAGCCTCACAGTAATACTCTCCTCCCTCAGTAACATTGAAGCTGTAAACCTGCCCCACAGATACATTAATGGCTCCATGTTTGCTGTTCCTGAACCAGGTGAAGCTGGCAGGAGGCTTGGCTCTGCTGGAGCAGCTCAGCTCCACCCAGCTACCTGCTGACACCAAACCTGATGGACTGATGGATGCTGAGGTGTCTTTAGGAGCATCTGAGGAAAATGGGACACACATTAACTTTATTGATCAGAAACAGCTGAACCATGACGTGCTGACAGGATCACTAACATGAAACACAGAGTCACTTCTGTCTCTGCTGTCTTGCTTCCTCCATTCACAGGATATCTGGCAGAACAGCTGATGTTGTATCCATCATGTGTGTCTGACAGAGTGATGGTCTCCTGGATTTTAGTTGTAAAGGTTCCATCTGTGTTTTTCTCTGTTTGTCTCTCAGAGTCTTGTTGGAGATTCCAGGTGAGTTCAGGAGGTGAGTGTGGACAGGGAGTCACAGCTGAGCAGCTTATAGTGACAGACTGATGCTCCTTCAGTTTAAGTGGGATGTTAAAGCTTGGACTCCAAGGACAATCTGAGTTTTATAAGCAAGAAGATAATTCACAAAGTAAGAAATATTGTTTGAATAAAATGAGGTTAATTTGTCTAAATTGCTTTATATACTGTAATAATAGAAAGTTAATAATTTTACAATATACATCTTTACATTTTATTTAAGTATATATTTTTTACCTTTAACTGTTATTTGAAGAGGGTTATCACAAGCTGTAGCTCTAAACGGACCGTTCTCAACTCTGAAGAAGTATTTGTCTGTATAACTTGTATTTAAGTTAGTAAATAAAGTGGTGCAGTTTTTTTCTCTCAGGTTTCCAATAATTTTCAATGGATGGATGTTAACCGAGTTACTGCTGTTTAAAATAACTATTTTCTGATTTAGGGACAGTTTGAGGTTATTTTTCATCCAAACTCCATAGATGGAGTCGTTATTAAGTGTTTTGTCCTTTGTATTAAATCTACATGGGATTTGTAAACAAGATCCAGTCAGAGCCTCAATCTTATTCGGGGAAGAGATGGAGAGGGCTGGTCGTTTATAACAGTTACCAGCCAAAACCCCTGTAAACACAAACAAATGATAAACTGAAGGTGAGGTAAAATCTGCCTGTAGAGAAGTTTCACAGTCCTCAAAATGAAAAGAAGTGAACAAACATCTCACCTGGAAGAAAGAAGACACTCAGTAACATGTTGACTTTCAACACGTTCTCAGACTGAGCTGCCATCAGACTCTGATGGGTTTTCATCTTTCAGACTAGAAACAAGATGAAAGTGTCAGATTTCATCAAAGGAGTTACAGGATAGAACTTTAGAATTTCAGTAAATATCACAGCACAACATTGTTGATTATGAATAATTTAAAGTATAGATAAAAGTTTTCTTCTAGCCCAGGGTGGGTTTCTTCTTCATCTCAAGCTGAGGTCCTCTATCATAGGCCTGGGAGTTTGAGGGTTCTTTAGGGTATCTTAGCTGTCCCTAGAACTGCACACTTCTTAACTGAGATCCTTCTCAAAGTATCTGCAGGAGTAACTTCTCCAGTATGGGGATTACTACCCTGAGGGCTCCACAGGCTCTTTAGTTACCTTCACCTTCCAGGCTTGCTCTAGTTCTTCCCTGAGCCCTTGGTATTTCTCATGATTTATCTTTCCTGTTATTTCCAACATTTCAGATGGCCATATTGATCACTAAAACTGTCCTCTGCTGCTTATCAATGATCATAATATCTGGTTGGGTGGCACAATCTTATTGTTTGTTTGTATCTAGAAGACCCACAGGATCTTAGCTCTTTCATTCTCCACCACTTTTGCGTGTTGCTTGCATTTTGACCTGGGCCTTCCAGTTTATATAATGCACAGATTTTTCTATAGGCTATTCTGTACCAGCAATGCATTCTATTTATTCCTTTCCTGCTAGTATCTAACACTCTAATGGTGGATCGTTTCGGTGGCCTCTTTGCATTGTCTGCAGCTGGGATCTTGCTTGATATGGTAGATCTGGGCCTCAAAGGTATCGGTGCTCAACGTAGCTCCGGTTCTGCCATGACCAGTGCTTCTGTGATGTCCTTTAGTCCGGCCCTCTCTAGCAATTGGTAAGATTTTGTCATATCAACCACTTCAGCTATCTATTGGTGGTACATCCCATTCAGGGGCCTTTCTTCCTATAATATTTCTTTTAGTTCATTCATTTCTAGCTTTCACTGTCTGAGACATTCGCCAAGGGCTTTATCCTTTGGGGCCATCTTCCTGTTATATTCTTGGAGCTTGGATGTTTCATCTTCAATGGTGGCTTTTAGGCTCCAGAGGCCTCTGCCTCCTTCTTTGTTCTTAGTGTTTAGTCTGTGGATTTGGGGTGGAATCCACAGAGCGATCCATGCTTTAGGGTGGAGACGGCAGATTGCCTCACTTTTGTTGCGTGCGGAACCTCACACACTGTTAAATGCGATGAGTATAAACTCCATCCATCCATCCATCCATCCATCCATCCATCCATCCATCCATCCATCCATCCATCCATCCATCCATCCATCCATCCATCCATCCATCCATCCATCCAGGTTGCAAGGTTGGATTATCTTTACTTAACTTTCTAAAGCAGGGGTGTCAAGGTGGTTCCAGAAAGGGCCGTGTGGATGCAGGTTTTCTTTCCAGCAAAGCAATAGCACACCAGACTCCAGTCGTCTCATCAAGCCATCATGTTCAGATTGGACTAACTTGATGATGTGCTATTGCATGGTTGGACAGAAAACCTGCATCCACACGGCCCTTTCTGGAACCACTTTGACACCCCTGGTCTAAAGCTACCCTCTACAACCTGGAGGAATAAGGTGACCCTCTGCCTGACCAGGAAAATACTCAATGCAAAGACAGTCAGCCAAGAGTTGCTTTTTTTCCCACGCACATCTATTGCCTTTCTGCTTTGGTAACTCAGAAGTAGAAAAATGTTAAGCCCCTCTCCTCTAAAGAGATATATTGTACTTGACTAATTGTCACCAAAAAATAAAAATCATTGAACTTATGTGTGAAACATTAACAGTAGCGAATAATTCAGAAATGAAATGGATATCTGGTTTTCATAAAATGCAACAAATTAGATTACCTCTGTGTGCTTTCTCCACTCTGGTACCAATAAAAAGTGATTCTTTTACAGGCGCTGTAATGAATAATTTTAAGTCCAGTATGTTTATAAGGAATGACTAGGTCATCTAAACATCAATATACTGTGATCTTAACACTTCATTATAAACTGGCTCTATGTGTAGAGTTGTCCTGCTTAAGGGTCGTTACACACCCTGTCTAAAGTCTACTGCAGCATCCATCAGGGTTCTTCTTTTGTCTACATTTGCACAGATTTAACATGTTCGCTAGCCTGGATCCCTGCTGTTGAGTTATTCTATTTTTGTTCAAGCTCTGCCTCCAGCTTTTTTCTAATGTAAGCTTTTATGTAAACATTTCCACAACAGCCACTGTGTGAACAATGTGGGAACTTGTCATAATTAACAAGTTATTTCCTCTGACGTGTCCCCTGATGTTATGCTACTGAACTGACAAAAGATTGATGTTTTAGCAGTTATTTAGCTTCACCTAAAAAATAATGCAACAGTTTTTGGCATTCACTTAATCATATTAAGTTATTTTAACGCAATTGTTTCATGTTAGCAGGGTATGACATAAACATTTTTGTTAAAGTATCTAAATATGATTAAGTAAACCCCAAAAGCAGATGCATTATTATCTGCCCTGTAGGTCGGGTGTTCTTATTTTTTCAGGCACCCATGGATATGAAGGAATAAAACAATGGCCTTTCCTGATCCTTTCCTGGTGACTTTTCCTTTCAGGATTCCAGCCCAAATCTGAGCCATTATTCCGGTCTTGTGGGTATAAATATATCATTATATATATCGTTATGACCTCACAAAACTCTCTGTAACTTTATATTGAGTAAAACTGCAAAGATATCATAAAAAAAACCCACAAAAATAATAAATTTTCAGTACACGCTATTAGCAGGAACTCGCTTTAATTATTAAAGTTATGCAAAATGTGTTATGGAGCCAAATGAAATACAAATCATTATTACTATAAACATAAATATGATGAATAAGAATCCAACACTTGAAAAAACAAAAACAAAAAAGCAGGTTAAAGTAACAATTAGTCAGAATTATAATCCAGAGCAAGCTTTGTAGAGTAATAATTAAGCCTAGAATTGATTGAGATGGATGTAACTGAGCAACAACTGCTCAGATGTCTGACTATACTGTCATCAGCAGGGAAAATATTAAACACAACAATATAAACATACAGTCTTTACTGTTTTAAAAGGTAACTGTCTTACCAGCTGCCTCTCTGGTACCTGTAATTCTATATCATATAATCATCTGCAATTTCACTTGTTCCTTTTGATCTCCTTCCAGCGGACTAGAACTGCGTGTCACTTTTATAGTCGATGTAGGAATCTGAGTTCAGACTGATTCCTTCCCTCTTAGTTTCAAGATTGTATTGAAAGGGTGGGCCTCCTACTTCTACTGACTTGCAAGACAAAACAAAGTCGCTGAGCAAACCCAAAGCATCCCTTGGCTGCCAAAAGATGGCGCCATGAACTGTTCAATCATTAAAAGCAAAGCAGTGAATGTAGAAGTTGAGTTGAGTATTTCCTTATCTGTTTTTAGGCCTTCAGTCTTGGCATTAAAGACATATCAAGGGAAAATAGTATCAAAATAGTATCCTTATTGTCAGTGGTGGAAAGTAGCAAAATACATATACTTGATTACTGTACTTAAATACAATTTTTGAGAATACTTACTTTCACTCAACTACATTTCAAAGTCAAATATTGCATTTTCTATTCCACTACATTTTGAGGAAGCTGCTAGTTACTTGTTAATTTTTGTTCAGCTTAGCTTTATAATCCTTTTTTTTTTTTTTTTTTTAAATGCAATTTCAACATGTAAGATAGCAGCCCTTAGGACTTAGTTTGGACATCTCTGTTTTAGAGATTTGCATGACTTTCCACAAATGTGAGAACCTCAGGGCAGATATAATCAGTAGTTTATAATTTTATTAATGCATTAGTTGTAGCCATGTGGTCAAGTTGTTCAGTACGATGACTTCTCAGATCAGAGTTGTAGATACTTGGTGATAACTCCTGTTTCTTTTTGGTTTGTTTTTAAATAAAAAAAATAATATTCAAAGAAACTTTCCTTATTTTTTGTGGCATTTTTTATTGCATTTTTCTTCTTCACTGGTGGTTCAGAATTCGCAGCAGATCTGTTCTATACATTAATACATTGGGTGGTTTCTGAAAGTTACTGTTGGGAGCTGGAGAAATTCCATCTTTCTCCAGCAGAGTCCGCTGTGGATCCTCTGAGGGAGCCTCCTGCGCAGCTGCAGCTCATCAAGACCATCAGAGGATCCACTATATAAGCTGTCTTCAGACCTTGCCTCAACGCCGCAGTGTTGTTCCAGTTGGTCAGCGCTAAAGCCTTGATTCTCAGTGTATCTCCATGACCTTGAATCCAGTCTG